GAGAGAGAGAGAGAGAGAGAGAGAGAGAGAGAGAGAGAGAGAGAGAGAGAGAGAGAGAGAGAGAGAGAGAGAGAGAGAGAGAGAGAGATCTGAGGAAGCCAATGTACAGTTTTCAAATGGAAACTTTGAGCAAAGAAAATTTGAGAGGTAAATAGCAGTAAAAACCTTTGAAACTTGATAAACAGAAGCAACAGAAAGCTTTTCTAACAATTATTCTCAGCTAGGCAGCTGCATGAGGGCCAGGAGGGGTAGGGGAAGAAGGGGATCAACTTCCGATCGAGTAATTGATGACTACCAACCATGGCCCAGACGAAGAAAAACATTTGACACAGCTTCTTCAAACATTCAGGAATGATTATCTGGAGAATGGTAAAGTGGGCTCTTTGGTCGACGACACCCTTACTTTCATTTGGAACATTGATCGAGGTCAACAAAGCGGCTCGGCCACAGCGACAACCACAGCTTCGGAACAACGTATTGCAATGAACCTCCTAGTTCAACACCAGTGAGCGCACATATTCACACCACATGCATGTATGAGATCACACGAAGTTCACACTGAAGACCAGAGAGATTAAGACCAGGTAGCACAGCTTATGAACTCCAACAAGTTATTACAAGAGCAATAAGAGTTTCCCAGTCACCAGCGCACATCAGCGCATGTCGAAGGTAACTAATAACCAGCATAAGCTCTCAGGTAAGTATCTCTTTCCCACCGCTCTTCTCTCTTATGTATCTCCCCTCTTTGCTGGTCTTCTTTCTAGCTCCTCGCTGTGTCTCATCTCCCTACATGTGTGCACGCACACTAACTACTACTCAAGGATCTACTCTGAATACACCCACTGATATGCCTACTAACCTTCTAAAGTCTACTACTAACACTCTGCATTGGCGCAGCTATGGCTGCCTTCTCCCTGCCAGCGCAATCTCTTCCTCTCTCTCTTTCTCTTTTAGCGCAGCACTCTGGCTTCAGCGCTCTGCCCCTCACTACCGTGCACAAGTGCACCAGCACTTCCACACTTCTTGCGAATGAGCAATCTCCCCGAATGGGAGGCTGGCCAGTCCTTTTGTAGTCTTGGATTGCACTTCAACTCGTGCCAGCCTCTGCTTCTTGGGGCCTGACTGGTTCCGGTACCACATCCCCATGGCCTGTCTGCTTTCGAGTGTCACGGCCTGGAACCTTCCCGAATTTCCATTGGCCTGAGTCATGAGTTTTCGATTTAAGCATATGGTTTTGACTGTGGACTGTGACTCCTGCCTCTGAGACATGCCTCTTGCTTGTGGAACTGCCCTTGTACTCGTGGGATGTGACTCTGAGACGTGACTTTTACCCCTAAGATGTGACTGTTTGCTGGGTGCCTGTTGGACTGGACTGCTGAGATACCCAACTGTGACTTTTCTGAATTTGACGAACTCGGCCTTTCTTGAGCAGGTCCTCTGCCCCTGAGACCCGAATTTGGGGCCTGAATCGTGGAAGGCCTTTCACTCTCGCCGGCAGTGTTGGACCCGCCGACGGTCGGCAGCCCTTGACTGGTCGGCTGCCGACCCGCCGACTGATCGGCTGATCGGCACCTACCAGTCGGGGGACATCGGCACCCCACACTTTTTTTGTTTTTTTTGTTTTTGGGATCCAGAACCCCTAATAACCCCACCCACACCCCCATAGCGGCCCCCAATCCCCGCATACACCAACCCAACACTCCCGAACCGCCCCCAACACCCTTATTAAACCCCCCAATATCCCCTATATCACCATTATACTCCCCCTATACTCCAACCCATACCTGCGGCGTATCGCGTGCGCGTGAGCTCCGCACGTG